TGTAGGTTTCATTCTAGAATTCAGACGCGCCCTAGTGAGTCCCTTTCACTTAGAGAAGGGGCTGCCTGGGGTCCTTTGTTAATGAAGGTGGTTAAAAGGGAACACACTGAAAAATTAAAAGGCCTCGGCACCAGATTGCTGAAATCCCATTAAGGGGTGTGGACGAAAGGGTGAACTGGATTATTGGTTTGTCTTCCCCCCCCCCCCCCCGCAGCTCATCTAATAAATGTATATACTGTTCCCACTGGGGGTGGGAAGCCTTTTCTGAAACAAAAGATTCCTTCTTCCCATTGTTCTGGCCTGTTTTGTCGGAGCCCCAAAGCCCACGGTTGCAGCGTCTCGTGGATTTGGTATTTCACATGAGTTTCCCCCACTCGCCTTCCTGTCTCAAGAGGTCTTGAAAGCAGGGAGGAGGCTTGGGATTTACAATCTGGAGTTCTGGCTCACATCCAAGGGCCCTCACTTCTTCTAGACTCCCTTATCTAGCTGTGACAAGGCCTTGAGATAAAGCTATCTCAGTAACCTTTCGACAGCCATCCACACCTCTTTTCCCTCTCCTCTTCCCCTGAGCCTTCTTCCCTATTAGGGCACAACCCAAACCTGGCAGCTTTCTGAGGCTCAGGCTCCCGAAAAATGAGAGGGCTAGACCACATGGCCTCTCACATTCTTTGGCTCTTCAGGTCCTCTGTGGAAGGCCTGTCCCCATCATGCCGACTGAAGGAATTCCTTTAACAAAATTCATCCTGGGGTAGGAGATTGGACAGGGCACCGGACTGGGCTACAATGCTACCTCAGACTAGATGCATGACCCTGGCCAGTCTCTTAATCTCTCTGGGCCTCCGTTTCCTCCTCTGTAAAATGAGGGGGGTGGTTTCTCTGGTCCCTTCCAGCTCTAGAGATGTGCCATGTTGGGGAACTATAGGGCCCCCTCCTCCTCCTCCTCCTCCAGGGACAAATCGTGGGGCAGAAGTGGCCAGGGCTCCCAGAACGGATCCTTCTCCCCTCATGTTTCAATGGATCTCCGGTTGGGGGTTTCTGGTGTATCATCTGTGGTTTTCAGCCTGAGCTAGAACTCAAAGAAGGCATGGTTTCCTCTATAACCACTTTCACCTCATTGTGGAGCCTTCCAAATCCCAGGCCATGCAGAGGGAGGCTGGAAACAGGCGGGCCTGGCTGGAGGTACAGAGGAGGGTGGAAGGCAAGGGAGTAGGTGTATGTGTGGGGGTGGGGCTCTCCCCCCACCCCCAGTCTAGAGGCGGTGAGAGGAGACCCTTAGGGGTTTATCCAAGATCTTGGAGCACCAGGGATCCCAGATTCGTCTAGCCATGGGTACATTCTGAGCCTTGTACAGGACTCTTCACTGCTGACAAAATGTTTTTAGGTAAGTTCATCAGGTTCTCCAACAACTCTGTGAGATGGAAAACATTCCTACTTCTTCCATAAAATGGGAATAAGATTCGATGGAGGACCTAACTGAATGGGAGGTCCTTGAAGACTAGGACTGTCTTCCTATCCCTAGCACCTAGCACACAGTAGGCACCTAATAAATGCTTGCTTGCTGGATTTGTTTCCATTCCAGTAGAATGTAAGCTCCTTCAGGGCAAAAAAACTTTGGTTTTGTCTTTGTATCTTCGATGCTTAGCACACAGTAGGTGTTCAACAAATGCTTTTTTTGTTTGTTGATCAAGAACAAAATAAAAACTACTTTGCAGACTTTGAAGGGCTATATAAATCTCAGATTATCGTTAGCTCCATTTTAGGGGTGAGGAAATAGAACTTCAGAGATTTGTTACGCCTGGTTAGTCTTGTCTGACTCTTTATGATCCCGTTTGCAGTTTTCTCGGCAGAGATAATGGAGCAGTTCTCCATTTCCTTCTCCAGCTCATTTTACAGGGGGGAACGGACAAATAGGTTTGAGTGACTTGCCCAAGGTCACCCAGGTCCTGTGTGAAGCTGGATTTGAGCTCCTGATTCCAGGCACTATGGTGCCACCCAGCTGCTGAGTTTCAGAGAGATTGTGGCTTCAATGGGATTATCTGTAAGTGTGAAAGGGGTCCCATAATAAGTGGCTAGAGCCTGTCCAGGACCCAGTCCTAACCCAGTCTCCGAGCTGACATTCCTTCTATTTCGTGCATCAAGAGGACAGAAGCAGGAGCCCCAAGTGGGAGATGCAGAGGAAGATGCCCACGGGAGGCGGTTCCAAACCACGGGAGCTGTCCCAGAGTGAAATGGGCGTCTTAGACGAGGGGCAGGGGAGGAATGAGGGGAGGGTGATGAGTTCCCCGTCACGGGAGGTCTTCTAGCAGAGAAAAAGCAGCAACTGGTTCATTTTTGTCTGTCCCTAGCACGAAGCAGTGTCTGGCACACAGTTGGTGTTTAATAAGTGCTTGCTGAATCAAATTGGATGATGAATATTCGTTACGGGGCATTGTGCAAGGAGGATTCCTTCGCAGGTTCAGGTGGCACACTGGACAAACTCCTCTCTGATGTGACCTTAGCCTCACCGAGCCTTTGTTTCCCCACCTGTAAAATGACAGAACAGCGTCAGATCTATGAACCTATAAAGCCTCTGAGGTCTCTGATTCCTACTCCCAGATCGCAAGAATGCATAGCATGAGTTGAGTTGGGTTGGAGCGCCCCCTGGGGGCTGCAAGGGCATCTGCGAGTGCTCAACGACTGACCCTCAGTCCTGCCTCTGTGTGATGTAGGTAGCAAGAAGAGCCCTGGTCTCAGGGTCAGGGAAGACCTGGGTTCAAATCCCACCTCTGACACTGTGTCAGAGCCTCCTTGCTCTTCCCCTGGACTAGATGCTCCATCTCCCATGGGCATTGTCTGGGGCTGGCCCATGCCTGGAATGCACTTCCTCCTCATCTCCCACATTCGGGCTTCCTTCAGGTGCCAGCCAAAATCCCTCTTCTTCAGGAAGCCTTCCCCACCTTCTCAATTCTGGTGCCTTTCTTCTGTTATTTCCTATTTATTCTACATATCGATTAGCTTCATGTGGTCTCCCCCCTCCCCCCATTAGAGTGTGAGCTCCCCGAGGTCAGGGACCATCTCTTGCCTTTCTTTGTAGCCCCAGTGTTTAAGCATAGAGTCTGACACACAGTAGGTGCTTAATACATGTTTATTGACTGACTGGCCTCATGTTAGACTTGGTTCACAGGGTTGTTATAAGAAGAGTGTCTCTGAACCTTCAAGGGCCATAGAAATGTCAGGTGTTATTTGTTATTCCTTCCTTCAAGTTCCACCAAGAAGCCTGTGCCTGAGGCACCAGATATCCAGAAGCATGAGGGGCAGGACGGCTGGGGACAGCTCAGTACCCTGGTCCGCAGTGCTGTTCAGTGCGGAGTCCCCTCCAGGCCCAGTCTCTAAGTGGAAGGCTCTGGGAATGCCCTGGGGTCCCAGGTGACTCAGGGGATAGAAAAAGGTAAAAGACAGATTGTTAGTGCAAGTGTTATTGTTGAATTAGGGAGAAGGAAACTGAGGCACAGAAAGGAGTGATTTGCCCCTGGCTTCCCAGCTTGTAAGTGTCTTAGCTAGGACCCAAATTCATGTCTGACCTAAGTTCTGTGTGGCATTTCCTAGACCATAGCTGCCTCTCAATATGGCAGGGTACTTACCACCCTGCCTCACTAAGGCAGAGGGCACACTTAGACCTGAGAGGCGCCATCTTTCCATTATTCCTCATTGGCTTCATGAAGATTGGGGAATGTGAATGGCCAAAGCTCATCTTGTTCGTGGGACTTCTCAAGGGGAAGTTCATGCAGTGACTGGTCAGAGGTGTGGGGAGGGCAGGGAAGGGGCAAGCTCTGACCCGTTCCCAGAGTTAGGAACTGGAGAGAGTATAAGCTTCCCCAGGATGCTACCTCTGGACAAGTCTGTGCTGCCTGCTAGGACCAGGGAAAGTCACACTCAATGAAAGAACTCCTGGCCTGTTCCTTCCAGATGGATCATGGGACCATAGATGTAGAGTGTGAGGGACCCTAGAAATCATTAGCCCAGCCTCCTCATTAGATAAGGAAACTGAGGCAGGCTTTAAGTGTCCTGCCCTAAGTCTCATAGGCAGTAATTAGTCATAATAATAGCTAGGATTTATAAAGCACTTAAAAATGTCATCAAAAAATATTATCTAATTTTGTCCTCAAAATAACCCTTTGGGAAGTAAGAGCTATCATCATTCTCATTTTATCACTACTACTACTGCTACTACTACTGTTACTACTACTACTATTACTACTACTACCACCACTATTAACTACCGTTTATATAGTGATGACTATGTGCCAGGCACTGTGCAAAGTAAGCTTTTTGCAATTATTATTTCATTTGGTCCTTACAACAACCCTGAGAAGTAGGTGCTATTATTTTCCCATTTGACAGATGAGGAAACTAAGGCAAACACAGGTGAAGTGACTTGCCCAGGGTCACACACCTAGTAAATCTGGTCTGAGACCAGATTTGAACTCAGGTCTCTCCACCTCCAAGTCCAGTGCTGTATGCACTGTTACGTGTTAACTAGCTGCCTAATTAGCAGAGTTGGGGTTCAAATCCAGGTCCTCTGATTCCACATCCCACCCCTTTTGCACTGTAGCACACTACCTACCATTCCTTATAAATTCTGTTGGTTCAAGGAACATAGACAAAGCCTCCCATTGAGTTGAAATGACTATGGTTTTTGGTGGTATACCACTTTCTTATTTTCATTCCATTTTAATTTCATCCTTAAAGGAAATGCTAGGTGCGGATAACTTACTCTAGGGATGGAAGGTAGGTCTTCTGACTTCAGAGACAAGGACCCTCTGATGGGCATGTGTCTCCCTGTCTGTGTGTCTGTTGCACCTCTCTGGGCCCTGATTGGGGGGCGGGGAGGCCGAGGGAGCTCTTGGTTCTCCAGAAGTAATTTGATCTTCAGGCTCTGCCTCCTGGGTCTTCAGGCGATTGGTGGCTGCCTAGCAGCAGCTGACCCCAAACAAAGGAGCAGCCCCAGCCCCAGCCCCAGCCCCTGTGTGGTGGAAGCCAGGCCAGTAGCTCCGAGGGCTTCTGCCACCTCCCAGAATGAGGGACCTGTTGTCCACCAGAAATCAGGCCTGCTGGACAGAGCTCATTGAGAAGGAGGCTCATAGTCGGGCACACTGGAGGACCAAGTTTGCCCATAAGTACCCACGAGTTCCCGGCCCCAGGAAGAAGCACCAGCTCCCCTTCTCATGCCCAGCTCCAGATCCATGCCTGCTGCCTCCCATCAGCCCCCCCAGGACGGAGTACCCAGGAGAAGGAGCTGGCGTCCAGTCTCCCCAGGAAGGGGCCGAGAAGGGGCAGAAGGAGAAAGCCGAAGCTGAGCCCTTCCTGCCTGAGATGAGACCCGCCACCCCTAAGACCGGGCAGCTGCTGTATCAGGGCATCTCCCGAGAGGGCAAAGGGAGACTCCTTTACCTGCAGGCGCGGTGGCAGCAAAAGCCAGAGGACAAGTTTCGGTATCCGGTCTTGTCGTCCTGGGACTACGGCTGGCACATAGGTGATGGGATCTTGCTTTGCCAAAGCACTTTGATACCTGTTGTCAGTTACATCTTGGTCTGTGAGTAGGGAGAGCTGGTCTTCATTCACTCACTCACTAAACGCTGACTTTACCTTATACAAGGCACTGTGGCAAGTCTCCCCATTTAACCGGTTCAACTAACCCAGAATGGTGCTGTACATTTATCATTAGGGTGCCCGTATTCAGGTCCTTGGAGAAATAACACCACCTATTTGGGCCTCAGTGTCCTCATCTGTAAAATGAAGGGATTTATTACATGGCCTTCAGAGGGCCCTTCCAGCACCAGATCTAAAATGAATCCATCAATCCATAATTACTCAATAACCAAGAGGCAAAGACGCTAGCTCAGTGCCTTGTTCTGCATGTTGGGCTCTGGGTTCAGGGTGGAGAGGGTGATTCTGGTCTCTTTTGTTCATAATATTTCTTCCTCAGTCCCTAACTCTTCTTCCTTTTCTCCACTTTCTTCTATCCTTCACCCGCTGTTCTCCAATCCCACGGGTTTTGATTGAGCAAAAACATCTGCAGTCCCACCTCCTTCCTTCCCAAAGTTTTCCGGCCAGAGATTCCTTCCAGTTTCATGAAAAAAAAAAAAAAGGCTCTTTGGGAAAGGTCCTGCTGGGGTTGTCAGAATCAATGTAGATTTTGCCTTTTTTATAGATAAGGAAAGTTCAGTGGCTTACCCAAAGTTACACAACTAATAAGGAACCCAATTGGGCATTCACTTCAAATCCAGTGCTCTTTCAGAGACAAAAAGCTACCCTTTGCTAGTCTCAGCCTCCTGTTCCCTCCTCTCCCAGAATCTCAGAGTAGGGAGGTACCTCTGAGGCCATCTGGCCCAACCCAGACCTGAATAAGATTCCCCTCTAGTACTTACCTGAAAAATGGTCATCTAGAAAGTAGTCACAGAGAAACCACTCTCTTTCACCAGGAAGGACAGTGTGATATAATGGAAAGAGTCATTGATTTTTGAGTCAGAGATTCTGAATTTAAATCCTGTCTCTATCACATACTACCTGTACATCAGGACCTCCCTGGGCCTCAGTTTCCTTCTCTATAAAATGAGAGATGTACTAGATGGTCTCAAAGGTCCCTCACAGCAGCCATCATCCTGTGGTCCATTGCCAGCCTCTTTTCCATCAGAATTTCTTTCCTTTAAAAAAAAAAATCAGCAGCCAGCTCGAAAAGGGTGCTTTGCCATGCTGAGCCATATCTGAACTTGTTGGCCACAAATCCCATGCAGTGGAGGATTTTTCTAATGCTCAAACATCAATCTATGCAGGGGAAAGGGTGCTGAATTTGGAGTCAGACGACCTGAGCTCAAAGCCCAGCACTGTTGCCAACTGGCTGTGTGATCTTGGACAAGTCCCTCCCCCTGAATTTCCTTACCTGGGAAATCAGGGGACTAAAATAGCCTCCTAACTCCCAAAGCCCACCTTGTTGCACCTTTTTCCATTAGAAAGCACATCATTCCTTATGTTGAACCTGCACTAGGTCATCCCATGTTGCAGAACATGTGCATTAAACTGAGATAATTTGTATTTAGGCCTTTCAATTCCTTTCTAAGGTGGATTTGGCAAGTGTTAGCCTTTCTGATTGGATAAAGGAGGAAAAGTGTGTGTGTGTGTGTGTGTGTGTGTGTGTGTGTGTGTGTGTTCAGTGCATAAGTGAGCAATGATTTGACTAAGGGCAGGGCACAGAGTGCATCAATGATGGGCCTGGAACTCCTGACCCCTAATCTATTTCCCATTTCTGTTGTTTAGTTGTTTTTCAGTTGTGTCTGACTCTCCATGAACCCATTTGGGGTTTTCTTGGCAGAAATACTAGAGTGATTTGTCATTTCCTTCTCCAGCTCATTTTACAGATAGGGAAACTGAGGTAACCAGGTTTAAGTGACTTGCCCAGGGTTCACACCACTGGGAAGAATCTGAGGCCAGATTCAAACTCACAAAGATGAGTCTTCCTGACTCTAGTCCCGTGCAGCCACCTAGATGCCCAAACCACTGGGTGGAGAACAAAAATGTCACACCTGGCACAATTGCAAATGGCAGCCAAAGACTGGAGCAGAGCCATGAAATGCCTGGGGCTGAAAGAAGATGGACTGGAGAACCGTCATGTAACTCACTGGGCCAATGAGTCCCTGACACAGGAAAAAGGTCTGATGGGCAGAAGTATGCTGTGAAGATGGTTCAGGGTAGAAAGAGAGTCTCAACAGGAAACCTGGACTTTAAGTCCCAACTAATATCCTATCTTCTCTAGGAAGCTTTCCCCAACTCCTCTTAATTTCAGGGCCTGCCCTCTGTTAATTATTTCCTATTTATTTGATATATAGTCTGTTTGAACATAATTTGTTTTCATGTTGTCTTCTTTATTCCATTATAAGCTCCTTGAGGGGAGGGACTGTTTTTTGCCTATTTTTGGATCCCCAGTGTGACCTAATCCTAAATGCACAGTGCCTGGTGTTGTGGTTTGGAGTTCTGGGAACCCCAAAATGTAAGGGTGCAGTGTGGGTCTGCCTGGAAAGAATTGACCGCTCAAGCCTTCTTTCAGTCAAAGTAGCAAGGTTTATTGTAATGCCAATAGAGTGAACTAGATTCTAAGTGGATCTGCAGCTTGATGAGAATGGGACTGATACTTACATACAAAAAAAGGAAAAAAGGGTCAGTGAAAAGATCTTGGTGGGATTAAGGAGTGGAATAGCCTGGGGTGGGCCAGGTGCAATGGTGAAAGGACCTAGATGGCATTAAGGAGTGTCAAGTAAGCTAATTAAGTAATCAAGGTGGGCTGGGGTGGGTCATATGCCTTAGGCAAGATGCCAGTGATCTGGGTAGCTGGAAATGTATGGGAAAGTCAGGCACTGGCTTGCTTCTAGAGACAGTCTTTTCCTTTAGGGGTCCAGGTCCCATAACCCCATCTCCTGGCACAGAGTAAATGCTCAATAAACATTGATTGATCAATTGATTCTGTCTTAGGGGAGCTGCCTAGAGAGGACCTTGGGAGAAGGGGAGGCATTATAAGGAAGCTGATACCCAGTTGCTCACCCAGGTCTTCCTTCTTTTTTAGGGGATACCATGAAGGAAGCCAAAGCTCCAGTTCACGCCAAATCCCGGCTCGTCGGGGATACTTTTTACTTTCGCAATGGGGTCTTCCACCAGCCCTCCAGGTCTGACCAGCGGCTCTGAGCTCTGGTAGGAAACAACCCTACTGGGGGATTGTTCTTAATACCAGAGTCTGCAGCCTGATCAAGTTACTCTGGCGTTTCTTCCCCACCCCCACCTCCCAGCCTTGGCTCCAGTAAAAACCAAACCCACAAAACACCAAAATAATTGGGGTTTCCAATATGATCACTTCTGGTCCCCTGGTCCTGATTTATGTTAGCAATGAACCCAGGACTTTGTGTCTTTCACTTAGTCTGTTTATCATCAAATCAATGGCCAAGGATTGTCAGTTTTCATCTGTTTGTTACCCAGTGCAAACATTTGGAATCCTTCTTCAAACTTGGGTCAGAGCTGGAAGTTTCTACAGGGGCACCCCTCCTTTGCTAGCCTTTCACAACAAGAAACAGCTTCCCCAAAGGTTCCTGGAGACCCAAATGATTAAAGATCAAATCTTCTCTTTAGATCAGGGAAGATGGAAAGAGTTCAGAATGGAAAGTAGTTTATTGCTTTAACAAGCAAAGAATTTTACCCTGCAGTAAACAAAGGTCTGGTTTGCTAAGGTAGATTTTTGTGCTGGATTTTCTTTTTTCCTTTTATTTTTTGCATCAGATTTTCTGCAGGACATTTGTCTTTGGGCCTCAACAGGGGAAGCTGTGGGAGACTTTGGAAGGTCTTTTAGTCCAGAAATTCTCTCTGGTTTTCTTTGCCTAGCCTTTATTTTAACAGGCTGTCTTTATACTTGTTGTACCCCCTTATCCTGTCTGGTACCCTTTCCCTTTTCTGTAACCTTCTATGCCTACAACCTACTGATTAGCAAACTCAGTTCTAGGGAGGAGAAATGATTTGGCCAGTGTCTCACAGACAGTAAGCACCAAAGGTAGGATTTGAAATAAGGTCCTTTGACTCCAGACCCAGTACTCTTTTCACTGGAGCATGTTATTTCAAGTTTCTTGGTCATGGGAAAGACTTATCTCTCTCTCCAACACCCTCCTCTGTTCCCCAGGGCAAATAGCTGAACATTCCTGTGTTGCAATCTAGGGGTGCTGGGAACCCTGGAGTGCAAGAGTACAGGGTAGGAGTCTGCCTCGAAAGAATTTGACCACTCAAGCCTTCTTTCAGTCCAAGTTTATTAAGACACTGGTTTGTGTGGGTAAGATTCCTAGTGAGTCTGTGCATTTGATAAGGACAAGACTGTTACTTTTATAGGGAAAAAGACTGGGGGAAGATCTGTATGTGATCTAGGAGTGACAAGTAGCCTGGCATGGTCCAGAGATAACAGAGAATGACAGGCTGGGCTAGGTTGGGGGGGGCACAATGGAAGGACAGTTGAAAAGATTATACTGGGATGGGCAATGCCTCAGGCCACGCCAGGGATCTGGGCTGTTGAAATTTGTGGGAAAGTCAAAGGACCCTTCTCAGTGGTTCAGGTCCCATACCCCATCACCTGTACCTCACTGTCCTCACCTATAAAATGAGGATGGGATTGCACTAGTAAGCTCTAAGGTCCATTCTGCCTCCCGGTTTTCTTGCTAAGCTGTCCTCATTTATAATGGCAAGAGTGTAGGATAATGATGTCCCAACCCCAAGAGGCTGCTTCTCTCAAGATCACTGTGGATCCTTTCCTCCTGACACGTCCTGAAAGTCATCATGCCAAAGCTGTGGCAAAATCCTTAGCTCTTACCCTTCCCTGCCCCACTTGCGAGGGAGGGCTAAGATGTGGCCCCCGTTTGTTCCTGAGTCAGAGTTAGTCTAGATTGTGGGATGTTGGCTGCTGCCCTAGATTGGGGACCAGTTGCTGTTTTCTTCCCTTCTTGCTTTCATCCGTCCATCTGTGTTCCTACTGTTGAGTGTCTCCAGTAAGGCCCCCTCACTTTCCCTAGTGTGAGTTAAAATGAGCCAAATAAAGATTTGTTTCTCTCATTAGTGTCTCGCTGGTCTAATTTTTCTGTAAAGCCCTCCAGCTCTTTTGTCTGACCAGAACAGAGAAAGGTGATGTAAAATTGAAAATTGATTTTAATTCTAATTTTAAAACTTAGTCAAATGGCCTAGGTTTGAATATTCTCCCCACCCTGTGTAAATCCAAACTCCTTAAGTTTGTAAATTTCATCCTTCTTTTTTTTTAAATTTATTTTTAGTTTTCAACATTCACTTCCACAAGATTTTGAGTTCCAATTTTTCTCCCCATCTCATCCCTCCCCCCACCCCAAGATGGCATGCATTCTGTATACCCCTTCCGCTAATCTGCCCTCCTTTCTATCTCACCCCCCCTTCTCTTATCCCCTTCCCCTTCTATTTTCCTGTAGGGTGGGATAGATTTCTATACCCCATTTCCTGTATTTCTTATTGTATTTTTTTTAAACATGTGTTTTTAAACCTTTGGGTTCCAAATTTTCTCCCTTCCTCCCTCCCCATCCACCCTCATTGAAAATGCAAGCAACTTGATACAGGTTATACATATGTAGTCCTGCAAAACACTTCCATAGTAGTCATGTTGTGATGAACTATATTTCCCTTCATCCTATCCTGCCCCTCCCCACATTTATTCTATTCTCTCTTTTAACCCTGTCCCTCCTCCGAAGTGTTTGCTTCTGATTACCCCCTCCCCCAGTCTGCCCTCCCCTCTATCATCTCCCTTCTCTCTTGTCCCCTTCTCCCCCTATTTTCCTGTAGGGTAAGATAGATTTCCATACCCAATTGAGTGTGTATGTTATTCCCTCCTTAAGCCAAATCCTATGAGAATAAGATTCATTCATTCCCTCTCATCTTCCCCCATTTCCCCTCCACTGTAAAAGCCTTTTCTTGTCTGTTTCATGTGAGATAATTTACCCCATTCTACCTCTCCCTTTCTCCTTCTCTCAGTATAATCCTCTCTCACTCCTTAATTTTATTCTCCAGATATTCTTTCATCTTCAACTTACCCAGTGCCATCTCTCTATCTATCTACATATAATTTTTCCCTCCAACTACCCTAATACTGACAAAGGTCTCATGAGTTATAAATATCATATTTCCATGCATGAATGTAACCAGTTCAACCTTAATAAGTCTGTAAACTTCACCCTTCACCCACACCCCAAGAAACTTGACAAAAGGTGAAGCTTTTGTCTTGTAATTACTTCCACTCAGGACTCAGTTCTATTGTGAATTGAATCTCTACCCTTGTATTGCCTACTTTTGTAATCTCACTCACTACCCACTTAGACCAAATATGAGCTCCTTTGTAACCCCATCCTCGACTCACTCAACCCAAATTCGATGGATTCTATCAAAGCTGGCAATTGCAGACTTATCTCATCACCCAAGGATTCTTCCCATCTTCCCAAGGGGAAGTAATGGGGAGTAGCTGAGGTGACTCAACCCACTTTCTTATTAAAATGTTTACCAATGGGATGCTGGAACAAAAGTACTTCTGACTTTGTTGAAATGATAAAAGGATTTTCTCTTTGTAAATTGTCCAAACAAACAAAAAACCCAAAACAAAACAAAAAAAACCCCCTACTTATTGGATTATTAATCTTTATATTAGGTTTCCCTCATGTGTTTACTTCTTTGAAAATACTATCATTGATTTGTAAAATTGTAGGTCCTATCTGTAACTGTGTCATCATGAAAAATGAATATTGGCAACTTGAAGTTTAGTTTGCTTTTGAAAATGCAGCAACCAGAATATATACAGGTAATACCTAAAAATAAAAAAGAGATCTCAACTTAAAAATAAAAAAAGGAGCGGCTTACAAGCAGGGGTCAATCTGAGTATTTTTAAATTCTAGTCTTTCTGAAATCGAGAGGATTTGGATTTAAAATACAATGTGGCTTAGTGGATATGTTAGAAAAATCTGAAACAAAAATCTACTACAGTGAGTGATGGAAAGCCTTTATTACACTTCTCACGAGAGAAGTGGGCACAATGCACTTTAGTAGCACGTGGGCACTGCTTCAGTGGTAGAATTAACTTTTAAACCATTAGTAAGATCCATACTCCACCCATCAGGGCTACTATTAGTGTGGTTCATCTGAGTTACACCCTTCCTGGACAGCACATCACATGTTTGTCCATGTTCTTCCTTGTCATGTTAGGTCATGCGTCCCATGATCAAAAATGGCAGCTATCTCCGCCCTTGGGGTGTGTCAGTTAATATTCAATTAATATTCAATAAGCTTATTAAGCAAGCTCAGTGGAGAAAAGCCTTTGCCCTGTCCAGGTCTTGTCCTTGACCCCGACAGGTTGCAACCGCTTTGGCCTCCAGGGCTCGCTCTTAAGGAACTAGTTGTTTGCTATACTTTCTGATTGGTTGAGGGACTTTCCACAAGATCTTGGAATTTCTTATCCAGCTGTGGAAGCCTAACCTCCTAAAATCTTTCTTACAGATAGAGAGGGCCTCAGAATTGGAATGGGTTCATGTCCCATTTCTGACACACACTGGTTGGGTAACTCTGGGCAAGTCACACAAAACATTCTTTTCTGTCACTAACTCCCTAATACTCCCGTTTGCAAAACAGCTGCTGATCTGTATTGGCACAGGAAGTTTCTAATCAGGAGCTCCCTACAATGATGAAATCACAGTCAGATAAAAAATAAAATAAATGCTAAACTGGATGCATAGGCATTTTAAAAAATGAATGATACAAACAGCATGTAATGTTGTAGAGGACTGGAATGCGGATGCATTTTCACCCATTCAATTATCTATTTCAACAATAAAATTTCACCTGGACATCTGCTATGTAGAAAGCACTGCGTACCTTGACTCAAGCAATATGAAGGAAGGGGAGAAATAGTTCTTGACTCCAAGGAGTTGGCAATGTACTCGTAAGGGTATGGATTCCTAGAATACTGTGCTCAAAGGTAGCAATGAATAGTAGGGTTTGAGATCCCATGTGAGAAATAATGTTTCATCTTCTTTGAGACAATGTCATTGAAATTTTTGCATATAGTACTGATGAATATGGCAGCTAAGTGATGTAGCTCTGGGCCAGGAGTCAGGGAGACTCATCTTCCTGAGTTGAAATCTGGCCTCAGATGCTTACTAGCTGTGTGACCCTGGGGAAGTCACTAACCCTGTTTGCCTCAGTTTCCTCATCTGTAAAATGAGCTGGAGAAGGAAATGGCAAACTGCTCCAGTATCTTTGCCAAGAAAACCCCAAATGGTTACAAAGAGTCAGACATGACAGAGAGAACTGAACAATAGTAACAACGATCAGTGTGTTTAATTAAATTTTTACATTTCTTAAGATTTCAATATGATGGATGCCATGTGCTCAGGATGCACTTAAGTGTTAGATGGGGAAAGGATGCAGGCAATTTATCTAAATTTAACAAAATGAATTACGATCTGCTCTAAACATTTTTGGGGGGCCGAGGCAATTGGGGTTAAGTGATTTGCCCAGGGTCACGCAGCTAGTAAGTGTCAAGTATCTGGTCTGAGACTGGATTTGAACTCAGGTCCTCCTGACTCCTGGGCTGGTGCTCTATCTACTGCACCACCCAGCTGCCAATGCTCTAAACAATTAAACACCATGTACTTGGTTTAACGTACTAAATTTTCTTTTAAAATGCATTCATATGGAGAGATACTTTTTTTTAACCAAAGTGGTTCAAGCCACAAATAGAGAGCCAATAAGAATATTAAGCAATGTTGACTACGCATCCATTCATGGGTCTGGCTGCAGAGAAGAGAAGGGAGAAACAGATTGTTAATCCAGGAGCTGAACAACAAAGCCATACGTGTATGTGTTTTTCAGTTGTCTCAGTCATGTCCATCTCTTTGGCCAACAGGGTGAAGTGACTTCCCAGTGTCACACAGCTAAGAAGTGTCTGAGGCCAGAATTGACTCAGGAAGATGAGTCTTCTTGACTCCAGGCCCCAGTACTATATGCCCCACATTTATAGATCTTATAACAAAAGATTCAGTGAAACAAAGGAGAAGTAGTGAAGGTGAGCTGATTCCAAAAGGGAAAGAGTGAATAATACTGCCCATGTCTATGCAAGTAAAATGTAGTGGAAAAGTAACAACATTGTGAAGACCTGGATGAAGGCATAGAGGAAACTGGCCTAATGCAGTCCACAACCATCGATTTTCCTCAATAACAATTGGGGTTTTTTTTTGGGGGGGGGCCTAAATTTTTCTTAATAGTTACCATAACTGAATATATTCTATGTGGTTAGACTTGGCCTAAATGACAGAAAACCCCCTCAACATTTATTTGGAAGTATGATAAGATGCATTTCAACAAGTCTCATGTTGAAAATATGTTTTATAATCAAACCAGTGTTTTGTTATAAAGTTAGGAATACTTTTATTCCTGCACCATTAGCTTCACTTCTTTCCTACTCCTCCCTGTTTCTCATAGATATCAGCATTGTCCTGACCTGATGTTCCCATTGGCAGAAATGAACATTAATTTTACCATCAAAGGTTTGTCAGGATCATTTACATCAACCTCGACTTTGGGAATACTTATTCTTACCAGAGGATGTGAATAACAACAGCTCACATTGACATAGGGCTTTCCTCATAATAACACCATGGGAGAATCCACCAGCTAAAGGGATTATCTAATTGTGCACCAGAGAATTCACACTAAAGGAAAATATTCTGAATATAATAAATATATAAAAAGAGTCCCATCATTTATTTTAGATAAGAGAATTAATAATAAAGTGAAACAATTGTCACATGGTAATTCTGGGGAAAACTTCAGTCAGAAATCACCAATATTAAAGAATTCATACTGGAGAGAAATCTTATTAATTCAGCCAATGGAAAAGAGCGTGCGCACGCGCGCACACACACACACACACACACACACACACACACACACAGGAATCTACGCTGAAGAGGAAACCTTGGAACATCAGGATTGCCTTCAGGCATGAGTCATGCTTTACCTCTTTCTCTATTTTATCCCCTTCCCCATTC